TAAAATAAATGATGACATGGTGTAATATGTCATGTGTTGTTGTTCATCTGAGGTGGTATTTGCCTACTTTTGAGAACTGCTAAGGACCAGATGATTTTTATGTCCTGATATATAAAACCATAGAACTCAAAGAGGATGTACTTTCCTTTTCACATGACAGTATTTCATGCCAGTACTCTGAATAAGTCAGTCCATGGTTCCAGAAACCAAATTTCTCACACCATTTGTATAGTCACTGACTTGGCAAATTTTATTTCTCTTTCTGGTCCTCTTTCATGAACTAAAAGATACATGACAACTCCACCTGAGGCCTCCAGTTTTGAGCTTTCTTCCAAGATTTCCAAAGGCCATGACAATACAGTTGAAGTTGTTCTTTACAATATCGTTGTCCATACACATATGAACAGAAATGGAAAACTGTCATGTGGTCTGGATGAGCCTTGAATGTTATCCTATCACATCTCTGATAGAAGGCATATTTCACAAGCTGCTGGATCTGATCAACATTTGTTTTGTGGAATTTCTCACAGCAGTGAATCACCAATTTTCATGAATCAGGAGTCTAGCAGCACGTTTTCCAACTAATGCATTTTATTAAAAGCTTTTGTGAGCTGTAGCTCACTTCTTCAGATGCATAGAATGGATTAACTGATTTGAAGATGGGATGAGGCAAGCGGGGGGAAGAAAGGGTGTTTATGCAGATTACATACGAGACAGATTATAAATAGCCTTTTCAAACTCTTTTTAGCTTTTCCACCTCACTTGTTCAGTAGATACTATTATGTAAAACTACTTCTGCGATGTACTCTACACAGGGCTATAGACCATTCAGAAACTGCAGTTGGATTAAAATACAAAAGGCCACTTGTTGACTGTTATTGTTATGAACATATTGCAACTATTTTATGGATGGGTTGGATGTCAGTAGTTCCAAGGCACAATTTAATTTGATTTAAAAGGGCCTATATGGCTTGGCACATAGGACTGCCTACTCCAATTGGAGTCAACCTGACTGAGGAGATCCTCTCAGGAAGATCTGCTTATGATACCCACTTCCATGCTGCGAAGGGGATTGAGGCTAGAAGACACTGCTTTTCCATTGTGGTGCCTACATAATGGAACAGGTTCCTTTAGAAATTAGGCTAGTCCTCTTTGTTAATAGCCTTCCAGAAGTTTTTAAAGACTAAGCTTTTCTGGACAGCCTTTGGGGAACAATTGGGATGTTTGTTAATATAAGAGTATTATAATCACTGTCATTATTAACTGTACTGTTTTAATGTTTCATTATTCTACGGATATTTTTGCTATGTTTTAGTATAATATTAGCTACTGTGAGCTAATTGTGAAGATTTACTGTGACCTACTGTGAAGATTTGATGGCATACAAATTTAATAAATACATAAATAAATAAAATCAGTAAAAAAATTCAAACATATCTTTTAAGGGGACCTTTAATGTATAATTACAAAACATTTTTAATTAAGCAAATGGAATAAGAAATTATAGAGTTGTTATGCATTAATATGGACATGGCTACATCTCTGTTTTTGGTATTGGACATTTTCAAAGCATTTTATTTGAGACTGACTTTTCACAAACACTTAATTGGTTTAAAATCTAAATTAGTTAATTTGGCTTAAGTTAAATTCTTAGAACACAAAGTTAAAGAATTATTAGGTTTTATGTGTCCCATTCATATTCTAACTGAGATATACAGTATCTTGTTTTCTGCTAAATGTGAACTTAGGTTTTGTGCTTCCAAAACATAGTTTTTATTGTACAGCACATTTAAAAAATTTAAACTGGCCCACAGCTTGTTCTTCAGACAATTCTGCACCCAACTCAGGTTGGATTTATACAGAACTGTCAAACAATATTGGATTTTTAATTATAATTTCTTTGGAAACTGAGAAAGCTTTTGATAATTTTTTAACACAGGTTTTAACTTTTAATGTATATGTTAAGTTAACCTCTACATCACAAAAAAATTGTTTAACTTCTATTGGTTAAGTTTAGGCAGTGGTACATGCCAACAGTGTTTTTCCCCCCTCCCTTTCTTTCCTGTCTAATTAGAAATTATAAAAACATTAAAAAGTGTGTGTGTAAGGGACCCACAGGATTTTACTATATGCAAATAGCATGTTTTATAATTAGACCAACACTTTCTATTCCTTATCTTACTTCAGTGACACATGAGCTTGGTATTCTGTCTGGTTATTGCATAAATTAGGAAAAAATAAATTTGATAATGTCACTGGATCATAGCAATAATTTCAGTGGGTATACTGACTTGGCTTTTAGGCTATGTGGGTTATAAGTAGGTAGCTGGATTATTTATTTTATTTCTATATC